ATCCTGCAGTGACAGCGCAGTCTCCTCCTTGCTGAGGAGTGGTCGCGAGTCCTTCAGTTTCCAGGGTACGGGCTTCGTCGCTACTGATGTTTCCACCTTCTGCGCGTACATCACACTCTCTTGGATGTATAGCTGTGTAATACAGATTTACTAACAATTATATAATATGAAATGCCCAATTTACATTATTCAAGTCCAGCGAACGAGGCAGCTGGAAAACTGTCTTTGGCTGAATGAGTTTTTATAAAACATGCTGAAATTTTGTATAAACTGAATTATGAGAAAAACTTTTAAATCTTACAAATATTATAAATGTGAAAACTAGATATTTGTTATTATGTATCTCCAGAACAGCTAAATAGATCTTGAAGAAATTTGTTATAAATGTAGAACATACTCTGGAAGAACACATAGACTTCTAATTATTATTAATATTATTAATTATTATTATTAATTAAATGGAAACTAAATATAACTTTTTTTAACCAAAAACATATTTAATGCCAAAATTAAGTAAATTGATTTGATATTTAAAAGAATACAGACCTGTCTATCGTGTACTCCGATATATAGTGAAGGTGGGACGAGGTCGGGCTCAGCAAGTGCCTGCGCAGCTTGCAACAGCACGTCCACGTGCTGCAGTGTCCCGCCCTGCAGCCGCCACATGCTCGTCACAGGAGCTTCCAGCTGGAATAAAATAATTCATTCATTCAAATAATTGTTAGACTAATCCTCGGGCATAAATATGCAATTTAACTATTGACACTGGTTGATAGAATAATCGTGGACTTCTGAGACCGAAATCTCTCTATAAAGCATATCCTCATACCTGATATCTTTAACAACACAGAGATAACAATATATTATAAATTATACGGAGATTTTAGCCTGAGAAACCCACAATAAAACAAATATCATTCGAGATATTTCACTTACTTTCTGTTGCCACAATGGTTTCTGTGAGCCAGGCAATCGGACGGCGACCACGCCCTCGGGCATATCCACGCCTACAGTAACTGGGCTGGGCGGAACACTCTCGCCCATGCACTCCCGACGACTGACAGCGAGCTGGTGCTCCGCCACACTGAAGTTCCATCTGAAAATGACGAAGGACATGGCTAGTAAAAGTCTTTTCAAATATCTTGAAGGCTCAAGATCAGTGAGCAGTGCCATCAAAAGGGAAAAACAAAAAATAAAAAAAGTATGATGTCAATTTTCTTACCCCGAGGTTGGTTCAAAAGATCACATTACTGAAATGTCGATTGAGGACTAGAAGAATAGACACTGACATTCCATAGTTAAGTATCAATTTAATTTCCTCATCCCGAGTTAAACTATACTTTCTCCTCTTGTCCTATGCCAGACAGTCTTTAGACATGGTAGTCTACCTTCAACTGTTCACCAATACCCGAACTCTCTAATAACAAAAGATGAATTTTACCAGTAAAACTTGAACTTACTTTTCCTGTCCGGAGTGTGGCTCAAGGGCTCTTACTGTACTGGACTGTCGACGTAGCACCAGTATTTCTCGACCCGCACCAGCAGTTTGCTCGCTGCTGCAGCCCGCTGACCCGCATTCGTAGATCACTGTTCCTGTGTGAGCATCTATACCCAACCATAGCGTTTCTCTTGCACCTGAAATAATAGGTTATAAATATGTATACATCTTACTAATATTATAAATATGAATGTTTGTTATGGTTAGATGACTGTGTGTTAGACGGTATCTGCAGATTAGTTCAATGGATCTTGATAAAGTTTGGCACAGATGTAGTACATGGTCTGGTGAGACAGATAGGCTACTAGTTATTATTTTTTAATACCTAGTTGTTTTATACTTTCTGGATGTCTAAACTATCTTTTGTGTTGTCTACCAAAACGTAAGATTTATTCATCACTTAGGAACTTTCTCATACTATGAATACCTAATAGGTTTACAACTTTGCTCCCGCCTTTTTTTACATAATTTGAAGCTTCATTACTGCAAAACGATTACATACATTAAGTTACAAAGTATTGTCCTTCGTTATATACCACTTTGGCCCATCTCTCGGGCAGCAGGCGAATCCCGCGGCGAATAAATTCTTCATCTTTCGATAAGATCCATGAGTCAATCCAATTTTTCACTTCTTTATACGAGCTTAAGAGCTGGTCAGCCACACCATGTGTTAGTCACCGAAAGTGTGTGAGGTAAAATTTTCCATTTCAACGTTTCGAGATAATTTTTCACCACTTTGGCAACGTGAGGTCTAGCATTATCATAACCTCTATGCTATATTGAGGCCGTTTTTCTTTTAATGCACGGCTAGATAATCACCGGATTTCAATATGAAAAAATTCATATTGAAATAAAACAAATACTTCCCGCAAATGACGAGAATTTAGTCTAAATTCGGACATATCTATAAAAAATTTATGACGCCAAACACAAATTAAATCAAAGTAGGGTTATATTAACAAATGTCAAATCAAATTGTTCGATATTTGTGATTAATATATTTCAACTACTACCGCCATCTCTGGAAAACCGCGGGAGCAACGTTATAGACCTAATATATTTTAACAAAGTTCAATCTAAATACAATTCTTTTAGATTACCTTGCTTCTCTATAAATATTGAAGTAAGAAAATACTAATACAAATATAGTCATTGATCATAGTTATCAATAAACAGATATCTTGATAAATACAGTAGTTAGACAAAACAATAATTTCCTTCAAATTTAAAGTCTGTTGTTATTTTATTATCTATATGATAAGATAAAATTGTATACATTAATCATATGAAATTTTGTGTAAATTAATATCTTAATCTTTAGAATCATTATTAAAGTTTTGTATGCAATGAATGAAGAAAGGAAGTATCACAAGTTAATTAAAAATAACTAATAATTGAGAATTAAAAATCATTATCACTACTATTAACAAAGTGCTATAATTAAAATGTTATTACATTATTTAAGTCTAATGTTAATTTAACTGATTTGGACATGTAATTTGCATATTATTTTACTTTTTTCACAATAAATTCTGACATAATTTTGTTTTTAGCCAGTTTTATTAAAAAATCTTTATGAATCTTGTTAGTTAGCAAAAAACAATTTATACACCGGGTTAAGCGAGAAAAATATTGGGTTCCCTTGGACTCGCTTATTCAGGTTTGACTGTAATTCTAAAACACAAAATAAATTTTCATAAAACTGTGATCTTACCAGCTATTACCAAGTTATCGGAGTACTTAAATGATGATGATAAGAGTTGGTCGGCATCAAATGGCAATGGCTCAATAGTGTCTCCACTAAGACTGTATAGTGTGCCACGTAAAGATGGTACTAGACGCACCCATTTACCTCCAGCACTCAACTAGAAAAAAAATACCAAACATTAAATATTACTCAAGTCACTGCACAGAAACTTTAAGGTATGTAAGGATGTAGCTGGGTGCCGGGGAAGGGCACTGCACAGCAATGACATTGGGTTGCCAAGATATTTGAAAAGAACTATATAAAAGCTAATTTACTATAAGAGATTAATTTTGTTTCTGAACATAACATAAGCTATATGTTATTTTAATATTATAGTTTTAATAACTAAAGCAAAACAAGATTAAATCTCCCTGTTTACTTTTAAAATTTTCTAAATACAACGAAAATAGAATTGCTAAATTTAAATTGAAGTTTTACCTCCACATGATGCAGATTAGATGACAGCAATGGCTGCGTCTCAACATCCCAAGCTTTGATTCCATTTTTTGTAGAGAATGCAGTCAGTTTTCCATCTACAGTGCTAACAATTACTAAACTGTAAATATTAACACATTGGGTTGTATAAATATATAGTATTATTATTTTAATATATTAACATAAAGTTGTATTTTATAAAGGTTGAAACATGGATGTTTTTCTGGAGGGAACATGAATTTCAAATCTGTTATTTTACAGTGCTAAGATACTTTGCAAAAAAGATTACAGCAATCTAATAACATCTTAAATGATTTACACAATACAATCAAAATACAATCTTTACCTCTAAAAGATGTATGAGGAAAAGAATGCAAATGTTATTATGTTAAACCCAGGTAAATGACTATTGTTTTGTAATTAAGGTTATTTATTTTAACTATGGAAAAATTTAAGCATTCACATATATTAAAATATGAATGAATTTACAAAAACAAAATACCCAAAACGAATGAATGTTAACAAAACTTATGTTGCAGTTATATCAAGGTCGCGGTTAATTAGATAATGTTTGTTTTTGCTGCATAATCTTAAATACAAATTAAACTATACATTTAAATATCAGCACGGGATTATTCTATCAATTGAAAATATATGTTATCTTAACATAAAAAAGCAATAGTGTAGACTACACTTCAGCCGAAAGTCTGACGATTCCTGTCTAAACATGTTCATAAGATTTGAATGGAAGCATGTAACATTTAAGTTTTTATAATTAATAATTTAAGAGTAACTTACTCCTCAGATGCACCGTTTGCGTTGTGAGGATTACAAAACGGTAACTTCTGTATCGTAACATCAGCGCTAAGATAAGAAACTAAACATGTAAGTGCAAAGGCGGCCTTCAAGGCGATCACCCTCCAATACCAATCCGACATATTATTATTGCGAAATTATATTCGGACATCTCAAAGACCTAGTTTTTAATTTCTAGGTGTCATAAAACTTGGGCTAAAATTACGAGTTCACACTCGACAAATACAAACAACTTTTGTACAGATGATCACTCATACACCTCCACGCGTAAACTGTCAACATTCTGTCAAATTTGACAGAAATCGTTGAAAAATATTAGAATGATGAGTCATCAATGTAAAAAATTGTGTATTATTTATATATATGTATTTTGTCATTTATAACACATTAAAAAAATTATAAATTAAAACAATATTATCATATTAACGAAATAAACTGTATAGTATCAAGTTCTATAAAACTTAATAGTTACTAGGAAAGTAAAAATACCGAATGCGAAGCTGTGAAATCTGACAGAAAAGAAAAAAACAAAATGCGTGATGGCTACGCTTGACGCAAACCTGTAATTTCGTTTCGTTTGTGTTTGCCGAGCTGTTTGAGCACTATTTACAAATCGTTGTCTTGTAGAATTTTTCAAATTTTATACCAAACTGCGACATCGAGGAAAGCATTTTGATTTGAATCTCTGTATAACCGTCAAAATAAAATGACGCTGGGAACTTACAACAGACACCAAGCTCAGAGGAAAAAGTAAAACTTTGAATTTTCATTTTACAATACTTTAAATTTCATATGTCTCATGTTAAATTCGATTTGTTAACAGGCAAGCAGCTTTGGCGGCGGCGTTTCCTCAAGGCATCCGCTGTCAGAAATGCTTGGAGTATGGACACTGGAGCTACGAGTGCACGGGAAAAAGAAAAATTTTGGTTCGACCGTCACGTACAAAGATCCTTAAAAAGAATTTAGAAAAGAAAGAAGGAGGCCAGTGCAGGTAAATTTTGTTATATTTGTGCCATGTACGATTTTCCATATAGTTATTTCTAGAACACTCACTTGAAGGTAGATAAAAAAATAGTTGCTATGTAGTTAAACTTTAAAATTAGAATTAAGGATGTTGTGAAATGTGATTTTTAACTCCTTTGGACTAAATTCTAAAATATTTATTGTATTCCTATATGGGGAGCCATATGTATGGCCATAATTTCTACTTAACTATTTAAATATAATAAAGTCGAACTTGAAAAGGTGCGAAACCTCCATAAGTGAAAGTTATAGTCATGTTCTGATGGATAATCTCCATAAGCGAGAAAAATATTGTGGTTTGGCCCATCTCTTGTCCATTTTTTTACTGTATGTTGTGACAAGTGGAAGATAAAGTGATAGTTGTAAATTTTTGTTAAAAAAGAACCTACCCTCAATTTGAATGATTTTCAGCAATGGCAAATGCAAGATTCCAAGCAAAAAGAAACGCGCTAGCTCGGACTGTTCAGACTGTTCTGGCTCATCCAGCAGCTCCTCCGACTCTGGTTCAGACAGTTCAGATTCTTCTGGTAGCGACAGCAGCAGCGGCTCGGACAGTGATAGCGATAGTGGCAGTAGCAGTGAGTCGGAATCTGGATCAGGGAGTGATTAAAATAAAACTGTAATTTTATGTAGAAGGTGAGATATTTTGCTATTAACCTTTTGTTTTTATCACTGCCAATACAACTAAAAATTTAAATTTATTTTTTATTCCTTGCAAGTTTTGGCACTTTAAATACAATTTAAGATGTTATATATTTATTGTATAAAATCCTTAATTACCTTCTTTTTCTCATAAAATTTTTACTTATCTCTTTCTTTCTGTGCTTTTCTAAAATATATGATGAATAAAGCAAACAATTTCACCAATTCTGACTCTGCCGTATAATTGTGTAAAATGAAATTGGAATAAACTGTTTTATAAAATGTTTAAAACTGTCCTTTATAAGTTCAATTGAAAGGTAGTTGCATATTTGTGTTAAATGATTACTCAATAGAATAAAAATTGAGCCTTTTGTCAAAGTATTGTAATGATTATATTTCTTTTAGCAAAATATCTCATATTCTCATTTGTAATATTAACTCTGAATTCTTTTAAATATATTTTAGATGTCTTCACTATTATTATAAGAGATCGCCATTGTGAAAGGGTTCTTAAGAGTTAGGTTGCAAGAGAATTGTTCTATGTTTGTTGAATGAATGCGGGTCATTGAAAATATAACACATTCTGCGCTGACATACCTGGCAAGTCCATTTTATAAAACAAAGTTGCGGCATAGAATGTGTTGAAACAATTCTTATTTGCGATCAGTTAGTCTAGGGGCAAGTGAATGTAGTTAAGATAATTCTTAGTGTTACTTTTAACTATGTGATTGTAATGTATGTCTTATGTTACCTGATGATTGATAAAACAATTTGATTGTAAAATTTTAAACAGTAAAATCTATCTATCCAAAGTAAAAAGTTACATCTCTTATGAGATGCATCTTTTTGTTGGATGGGTCGAAGTAGATTTAGTTATGTAAAGAAATGTTGTATTTATTGTTTAGTGGTGATTAGGTCACTCATTTTAAGATTTTAATTGTATGTTGTCGCCTTTATGTGTATAACTTGAAACTTAGCTATTAAAAAACCCTCAACATAGTCTGGTTATGCTTTGTAAAAAAAATTTGCCAATTATTTTTGTTTGATAACTTGAATTTATAATAGATGAAATAGATATTGTTTTTAACTGTGACAAAATGTGTTTCTCGGAATAAATATTTATTAAAAAAAAAGTTCATGGATTTTATAACAAATTAATTAAACTATTTAACTAGCATAGAGGTTTTATTTACTTGACTGTAATGTGTTATACTGAACATTAGAGGTATGGTCCTTATGAGTTTGTATGTGGATGGTTACAAAGAGGTAGACCTAATAATGTATGGATAGATTGAATGAAAGAGAATTATGTAAGAATAGGGAGTAAATTCTGATTTGTATGGAATAGTAAACACTGTCAACTCTGAATAGGGATGTAGGATAGTAGTTGATGGTTGAAAGTATGGACTTATCTCAGATTTACCCAAGGAATGTATATGGGTATGTGAAGTTTTATAATAATTTATACAGAGAGGCACTTCATTACTTTTAATATAAACACATACAACAAATATAAGACTAACATAATTAAGTATGGTGGGAGTGATGATCGGTTTTATAGCAGGTTTCCACTGATGTAACACCTGTATGAACACATTGTTCTGTTTTATTGAAGAGAGAATGTGTTTCAGCAGTGGAAGTCCACGCTTACGATATAACTAAACATGTTCATTAATTTCTTACGATGCACTAGGCGCTTCTGGCAAAATATGAATTATCACTTTCCTTTTCTGATCATAACTGAAGTTGTTGATTTTGAATATCCTACTTTCGTAGAAAGGTTTGAGATCTGTGATGTTGATCTGTCTTGCTCTCTCTGTTAAATCTCGTTCAGATATCTCTATGGTGGCTTGCGAGTGGTTGTGCAAGCCACGCATGTAAGCCAACTGATCCATAGTCAGCTGACGTAGAATGTAATACAAAAGTTCACTGTGATCCTTCTTGTATGATAGATATTTCTGGAATGTCTGTGAAAGAAACAAGTCTATTAGAAATTACTTCCTTATAAAAGATGAGATTTTCAACAACCTAATTAAGACAATATAATATTAAGAGGATATCCATGTCACATCATGTTATCCGCAGCTTTTGCACCCAAAATTACGTGTTTTTTTTTATAAGTTAATTTGAATTAATTAATTTGTCTCATTAATTGTTTTTAAAGTTTCTCAGATCAAAATCTCTGTTAAAAACATATTGTTATCTCTGTTTTGTAAACGATAATGACAGGGGTGCTGATATCTTTTACACATAGATTTTGATCGCAGAAAACCACGGTAATTAAATTTAGTATGAGAAGTCTGCTCTATGGGTATATAGATAAATTACCGACTCTTTCAGTTACATATAATTAACACTTACTTGTCTCATAGCTCGCATTACACTATATTTCTGTGTATCGACGAAGCTCTCCAGCATAGTACGTATGGCCATGTTCACATCCTCTTCGTTTACTTGCGGACGTAGATGCATTCGTGCGTGTGCCTCGCTCATACGGATCACTGTGAATTAGGTAATAAATACAGAAAGAGAGAAAAATCAAGGTTTATACTAAATAAATGTATTATTATCCAAATGAACTATGCTGTAAATAGAGGGACAAAGAATGTGTGCATTTTCTCCTATTTTTCATATGTTGTGGATATTGTCAACTAAAGTGGTACCTTATTGCAAGTATTTCGCAGTATAGCTGTCTCACCTGATTCAATATGCCTGACAGTGATGGGCAAGCTTCCAGTCGCAAGTGACTCCTGTCGCAGTTGACTGTACATCTTTGCCACTTTATCTTGATCCATGTTCTAAAATCAATAATTAATAAACAAGGTTTAATATGAGTTAGCCAGTTAAGGCCCATTTACACTATGTAACTTGGCTGATGTATACAATTGAACTATAAAATGTCTTTTATAGTCTTAACAACAGATGCTTTTTATTCTAATATTGTTTTCTATTATTGCCCACGATACATACAAGACAGTGGTATCATCTAATGGGCCTTTACACTTTCCCAGAAAGGTACACTAAAGGTTTCTGAGACTAAAATCTCTGTAATCATCTTTGACAAAACGGAGATAACAATATGTTTTAATCAGGGATTTGGTCTCAGAAACCCACGGTGAGTCATTGATGGCACTTACTTGCTTCCTTTATATAGTTGTGCATACAAAAAATTAACAATATAAATATAATTTTCAACATTCTCTAACAAAAATAGATCTTAATTCAATAGTAATAAAACGTAAAATTACCTGTAACTTAGGATGTACATTTTCTTTAGAATACACAATATATTTCTTCAGTAGATCCTGCGGTATACCTATGTCATCCGTAGTATTGTCTTCCAGTGTTGCGCCACGTTTGGTCGGGTGGTGTCTCATGTGAGAACTAACGACAAATCTAAAATTCCAAACAAATTAAATAAATTACAAGGAATAAGATATTTATTAGTACTATGGCTAAAACTAACATCTTATTAATATTATAAATGCGAATGTTTAGATGGATAGATGTTTATTTAAAGGTATCTCCAGAACGGTTGAAAGGATCTCGATGAATTTTTGTATACACATAGAACATAATCTGAAAGAACACATAGGCTACTAATTAGTTTTTTTTTAATTCAGACAGCTAGATTGACATAAAAAAAAAACCTTTGTCTGCATTTCGTCTAAACATAATTCTAGACATCAAGACTTTTTAACGTAAAACTTACAAGTTTTACGTTAAAAACTCAGTACACTGAAAAGGAAATACTTTCTTCTTTTTATCTTTCATTTATACATATGGTATGGATGGATTGATGTTTGTTAGAAGGTATCTCCAGAATGGTTTAATGAATTTCAGTGAAGTTTGGCGTAGGTGTAGAGCAGTCTGGGAGGACACATAGGTTACTAATTTAGTTTTAATTCCGCGGAATCGGAATTGCGGGTGACAGTTACTTTATAATATTCTTTGAAATAATGAGAAGCAATTTTTACTTAAGTAAATATAAGTAATACTAAGTATAACTTACTTAGCTAAATGTGTATCCTGCATTGGGTCTGCCTCGTCTCTAACAACACAGAGTACGTCGAAACGCGACAATATTGGATCCGATAGGTTCACGTTCTCGGAGAATGTCAGCGACGGGTCGTAGCGGCCGCCGATTGGATTTGCTGCTGCTATTATTGAACACCTGAAAAATATACAGATTAAGGAGAAACCTTTATAAATGAGAAAAATGTATCAGTCCCTTGGATTTGGGACAGATAGATTATTATTTGAAAGTTGCAGGCAAAAGCTACAATTACAAAACAAAATATACAATTTAATCAATTTTCAGTTGGGCTTACGGTTGGGTAAGGTTTTTTTTTCGAAATTGACTTTCAGTAAATTTAGTCAGATTTATTAAATTAATTTCTGTTGTTACCTGGCATGTAGTGATGTGACGATACCGGCTTTGGATATAGAGATGGATTGTTGCTCCATAGCTTCGTGTATAGAGGTGCGGTCCTGCTCGTTCATTTTGTCGAATTCATCAATCAAGCAAACGCCGCGGTCCGCCAACACTAGTGCCCCGGCTTCTAATGTCCAATCTCTGTCAAAGTACAATTTAATTAATATAAAATTTTGTGCTTTTTATTATTAAAAAACATGTAAAAGCGATTCGATATTCTGTCCCGATCTGAGCGAGAACCTCGAGTTAGAGGAAACTTTATAAGCGAGAAAGATATAGCATACTCTTGGACTCACGCATTTCAAGGTTTGACAGTATTATGTAATTATATCACAATTTGTACTCCGTTTTAATAAACATTTAAGAGTAGTAGATAATTATTAATCAATATATATTTGTAGATTCATAATTTTACATTGTATTTAATTTCAAAGTGTGACTAAAAGGGAATTTTACCTTGTTGTTGGATTCTTTCTGACGTATGCAGTGAGACCAACCGCACTGGCTCCTTGACCCGTTGTAAATATGGCCCGGGGTGCAATCTGAATGAAAAATAAAAACAGGAAAATTATTAACAATACAGCAACAACGTTAATATCTGTGGATGCAATTATTATTAAAAATATGGTCCTATATAGGTCCTATAAAAAGCTTACCTTTTCAGTATATTTAAGGAACTGTGACTTGGCAGTACCTGGATCACCACAAATTAGAACATTGATGTCTCCTCGAACTTTATGCTTTTCACCTGAAAATATTTGTTAGGATCATGTAAAAAAATATGATTTTTTTGTAGTTATATTCAAACATTGGAACAAACTCTTGAAATAGGGGGGAAAATATCAATTGCATCATGTTTTGTTTATACACACATTTGAATATAGGATTTATTTTCGTAGCATTACCTGGATTTTTAGGTTCTCCACCAAATAACGCTAACGCTAAACCTCTCTTTATAAAGTCATGTCCATAAATGGAAGGTGCAATGCTCTGTACAATCCTCTCTCCAATGTTAGCCTCTTTGGACAACTTTATAATGCTGGCAACATCCTCGTCTGTCAATGATTCCACAATATGCTTACAATCTTTAACAACTATGTAATTTGCTATAATCACTGTTGCGAAGACTGGGAATCCCTGGAAAATATTAAATACTTTATGAAAAAACAGTAATTCAAAACATTGTTACTATAGCTTTTTCATTTTACAACTTATAATTGAGTCATCAAGTCAAGATTTTTTTTAGTTTATAGTCAAACAAGCCCTTCCCCTGACATACAAGTATAGAAATCTTACTAATACATATTAAAAATGTGAATGTTTGGATTTATGGATGGATGGATGTTTGTTAGAAGGTATATCCCGAACAGCTGCATGCAACACATGGATCATAGAACATAGTTTGAAAGCACACGTAGGCTAATTTTTTTTTCTGCAGGGACGAAGTCGCGGCCTTGTACCATATTAAATTTAGGATGCATATAATAAATACATACCTGTTCAGTATTAAGTGACCCATCATAATTGTTTGTATATATCCCAGTCAAGTCCACTTCATCTCCAGGTTTACATCTGTCACATAGATCAGCTAACAAGATACAGTCCTTACTACGTGGTATTCTACCTGCCGGGATACGACCCGGAGACTCCTGGATAGTTACTTTCTGGTAATTACGATATACCGTTTGCTCCATATTTACCTGGAAGTCAAAGAAAAATGGAACTAATGTCTGTTGTACTAAAGCTATCAATAGTGTGGTAAAAAATAGTTTCAAGTTTTAGTGTTTTTGGAATATGAAAACCTTTGAATGTGTCTATCGGTAAAATAAAGCAATCTAAGGTTAATTTTTGGTTGTTTCTGATATACATGTTACTGTAATTTTATAAAACTATCGCTTACCATAAAAGGTCCAGCACTCTGACACTCCGGACAAGATCCTGGCTTAACTTCAGAGTTCTGCGATTGTACAAATGGCCCTAGTATATAACCACATCTATTACAATCATATTTCACAACAGATAACTGTGGTAGAACACCAGTTGTCGCTGTAATTACACCAACAGTCCTCACTAACTGGTTCAAATGAAGTTTCCGGAATGTTCTTAACTCTTCAATAAGCGGCAGATCAGAAATACGAACGTGGATCTCTGACGTCACTCTTTCGTAACTTGGAAAGATTTGTAACACAATCTCTTTGGCAACTTCATCAAAGATCTGAAGCATTTGGAATGGTGCGTCTGGTAAGAAGAAGGCAAGGACTTGTTCTTTACGTGCAAGAACATCGAATTCAACGTGAAATGATGCTTGATTATGTTCGCACATACGTCGTATGCGATCCTTGTAAATGAATTGGCCTTTGTTATTAGCATAGGTTCGAAGAAAGTTTTTAAACCTGTAATGGTATAAATTATTATTTCACAAATAAAATTCTTATTAATAATACATCATTTTTAATAATAACTATTAAAAATTTAATAATAAAACTATGAGCAGACAATGCTTATACAAACAAAAGAACGGCTTTACCGATACGGCTGAAAATTGGTGAGGAGGTAGCTTAGAGGCAGGAGACGGACATAGGATGCTATTTATTCATTTTTTTATTTCTTTTTCGAATTTATGTCTGGAAGAGCTGCTTTTTATTAAACTTACTAATATTATAAATGCGAATGTTTAAATGGATGTGATGTGGATGGATGAATGGGTGTTTGAAGATATCTCTAGAATGGCTGAACGGCTCTCGATTATATTTGGCATAGATATAGAACATAGTCTGAAAGAACACATAGGCTTCACTAATTAATTGTTTTATATATTCACGCGGACGGAGTCGCGGGCGACAGCTAGTATGCTATAAAAATTAATATTTTATGAACTAGTTTCCTATTCTCTTACCTATTAGCAATCTCTGTTCTCGGTCCCAACATGGAAACCCATTCTTTAGTTGTATATCCCTTTGTATCCTCAAGATTCTCAATACTTTCAATGCCTTCTTCAATTTGCTCCTTGTCTCCAGTTGCAGCTCTCTCGGCGTCACGACGACGCTTACTACGTGGTGCACCTGTACTTTCTTCATCAGATTCATCTGAAAATAATTAATTTTATAATACTAGTTTTCAATTCAACACAACTTAGTTTTACTCTAGTAGATTTTATTATAATATATAATGCAACACAAGCATGTGGCCCCTGGAATTTTCTGAATTAGCCAATTAATTAATACCCACAGACATATACATTTGCAGATGCACATCCTACCTATAAACTATAAAATAGCATTAATAACCCAATTAACCTTTCATTGAGCCAAAACAATACAAACCATAAAACAATCCACGATCATCACGTCTTATTCTGCCTTCATCCCTGTCCCTTCTCCGCAGTTCCTGTTCAGCAGCCACACGAGCCTCAACAGACATTGGATCATAGTCATCATCATCTAAATCTTCATTGTCATATCGGTCTAAAGCTGGCATAGGCCGATAATCGCTACAATAGATAATAAGCAATGTAAAGTGGTATGTATTATGTATTGCCGTGGTTATTGTCAGTTACTAAATTAATTCACAACAACAGCATATTAAAATCCTGGTAACAACTGATCTAAATTCAATAGCGTAATAATTATGACTATTGTAAACGTACGCTTCCATATTATCGTTGAAAAGCTCCTCCCCATCCTCTTCTTCGGCGGCATTGTCGCCAAGGATTGCACTTTCATCTTCGAACATCTCATATTCCCGTGCCGGTGAAGTCATTCTTGATCGGGCCCCATCTCTATCGGATGGAGTATCAGGGATTGGTGAACTCTATAAACATGAAAATGTATTGTTGAGCTTACAGTTTCAATTAAACTAAAGTTTATGATTGGCTCTGCTTCATTGAAATGTATTAAATATATTTACTTACCATGGTTTTTGAATATTATATTAAGTGTATGAAATAATGGAATATATAATATGAATAATGTGATTGAAAAAGCGTTAAAAACTTAAAAATAAACGAAAGAAAGCGACAAGCAGGTTGTTTTTGTTGCTGTCAAAAACCGCGCGAATTTTATGATTTTACGGACTACCACAGGGCATAAATTACCATTTTTTTGTTTTCAACAGTATTTTAGTATTGACTTTTAATTACTTGGAGAATTTTAAGTGAATCAAGAAAGGCGATTAAATTTATTTTTATTAATGTTGCATAGTAGTCTTCGAAATGAAATTTTGTCAGACATCCAAACGTGAACGTGTTATAACCTAAAATTATCACGAATTTGACAATTTAAAATTTGACATTTCTTTGCTTTTTCGTAATGATACAAGATATCTTCTTTTTCAAATTGAAAAACAGACAATGGCTAAATACATTGCTCAAATTATAGTTTTGGGTGCACAGGTTGTTGGAAGAGCGTTTGCTAGGGCTCTTAAGCAAGAAATAGCTGCTTCACAGGAAGCCGCGAAACGAGCTGGTGGTGGACCAGAAGGTGCAAGAAGAGCCGCTGCCAATGCTTCCACAGGGCTTTCGCTAGAAGAGGCTATGCAAATTTTAAATATAGACAAATTAGACCCTGACAAAGTCAAGAAAAACTACGAACATTTATTCAATGCCAACGAAAAATCCAAAGGTGGTTCTTTCTATTTACAATCTAAAGTCGTCAGAGCAAAAGAAAGATTGGATGTTGAACTGAAGCCAAAAGGATCACAAGCTGATTCAAGTCAACCAAAAGATGCACCATGAGACTTTTTTAATTTTTTTGAGTGTAGTTAATCATATAAATGTATATTTATGTTGTAGATATGTTTAGTGAAAGAGAATGTTTTGTAAAATACTTTAATATGTAGAAAATGGACACAATAGTGACTAGAATACATCAGTCTTATTATTAAAAATGTTGATTATGTTATAAAATTACATTTAGAACCTTTAAAATGTCATACAGTTGACTTTAAAAGCTAAAAGCTAAGCAATATAAATAATATATTTTGCTAAGCACATATTTGAACTTTTATTGGTATGGTTTATTACTATTTATGCTGTGAAAAATGCTTATTAAAATTCATCAACCAAATCATTTCATTTTTAAACATATTTGTGGTACTAGAACATTAAATATCGAATTTCTTGTCATATGTAACTATATGCATTGATACACATATAAGCAGTTAACTATGGTAAAATATTTGAGATAAAAGTTAAATTTTCTCCAACTTTAAATTCATAAATACTTTCTATATAAAACTGTGTATTAGTTTAATTTATAATGACTGCAGTTTATTTGTGCGTCAATTTCTTGAGTAACTTAATATTTGTTGAAAATACATAATATTTTCAAAATAATCATTCATATATAAACATTCCATACAAACTGTAAAAATATTATAATTTAATTTCTTAATAATAAACTTATGACTACTAGAAAATAATTATCAAAATTCTTTTCTGATTATAAAAGTAAAAATGGAAGAAATTGAGCAACGGAAGATATTTTCACACCATTCTGATGTTAACTTATTTCTCTACCATTTTTGACACTCTCCAATTGTTCCCCATCATTTCATTTTATCACCAATATGTCTACATCTTTAAACTTTTATAAAAATTACGAATGTAAAAGTAATATAATAAATTAATAAAAATATAAAGTAATATGATGACTAGATATGACTAATTTGATATTTCTAAAGAATACTTAAAAGATATGATCATGTCTTTTTTGTGAAAAATAATTTGGCAATATGGCAGTGACGGCAAATTGCCTAAATGCTTGCCTATGCCTAAAATCTTTTGCAGTTTATTTTAGGATGGTTTTACATCCATTAAAACTACAACTTCATAGGGACTGCATTCTGACATGCCTAAAAAGTTGCAGAGCCAACCATAGAAGCCCTTCTCAAAATCACATACATCTTTCCACCAATTTGCTCCGCTGAATGTGAGTTGTACAATGCCAGCGTACAATCCTACACCAATAGTGAACACAACAATCAAAAATGGATATGACAGAATTACCATGGGTGCAAATATCGCCTTTTTGATCCAACTAAAGTTTTCTGTAACATGAGTGAATATATTGTACCAGGCTAAAGTGCCAATGTAAAATGAATAAGCGGCAGATATTAAAGTAACAAATGGAATACAGAGAAGACTGAATATGAAGATATGTGGCCCATTATATAGGGAGCATTTAGATACATCCATTTTATTGTACTCTTCAGCAACTATAGCAGCTTCAATTATTTCCAATTCCTCCCTTGATATATTCAATTTCACATCCACATTTTGTCCTTTCTTCTTACCTCGCTTGATTGTTCCAGTCATTGTCAGGTATCCATCTCTTGAGTTGTCAGTTAATGATGAAGGTGAAATTGAACCCTCTGACTCAACTCTTAAAGTTGTTATTTCAGTATCAGGATTTTCTGAATCAATTACGCCTGGTACAATATTAACACGCTTTTTCCTTTTTGCACTATTTTTAAGACTATCAGTGAGCGGTCCCATTTCAAAGCTGTTTTCAGACTGAGTTTGTGACATACTATTCGGAGTTGCACAAGAACTTTCATTATTGTCAGAGTTTAGTATTCTGCAGCCTCTTTGGGTGTCTATATCTATAGTGTCTCTCAAGTCACCAAGGCTGGAACAGGCATCCGAAGAATTCTCATAAATCGGAGACAAATCTATAATTTCACGACTGTTGTGAATAGTAGAAAGTGCTTGGTAACCATTTTTCTGCAATTTGTGTTGTGCATCAACAAGAATATTTGTATCAATCAAATCTTCATCATTTACGTCATTGATAATGGGAAGATTAATTTTCATATTAGATTTTAGTCCATCCATGGTAGAATGTATGATGCCGTTGACAACATGTTCAGTTACTGGTGACAAGCCATTTTTATATTTTGTGGGCAATTCAGTATCAGCTCCCTAAAATTAATGACAAGAAAAAAAATTAAAATTATTATCTCTATGTATTTATTTATGTACCACAGTAACGTACATAATTAAAAATTCAAGTCAATTAATAAGGAATCTTTAGTATTTCATTGAGAAAAATGCTTGAAAAATAAAACGAGAAATAACAAATTCATAAAATTTCTAAATAAATATAGTTAACGAAAATACCTGAACAGTTATTATATGATCAACATGGCCCGCAACGGCATTCTGTTTTTTTCCGTTTCGTTTTTTCGGTAAAATAAATATAGGCTGCTCTACTTTAGCCATAATGATTTCAATACAATGGTAAAAATTATCTTAATGTTAGTTTCCACCGGGAAAGATTTCAACTTCCTTCTCAATTTATTATTATATAAACGTTATTGAAACATGCAGCCTTTCACTTTAAAACATTTCACATACATTATGTCACGATTAACCTAGGTAAATGTTATAAATTCATAAAAAACACGTCGCACCGAAAGAAAATTTTCATTTTCTGAATTTTCAATTTTCAATGGCCGACAGGGCTAGGGACGTACGGTGGTTGTGATTGGTCCGTACCAACCGTACCAACCAAAACAGTACTAGCGTTTTGTAATTTTTTCAGTCGTTTGACAACATCCGGATTGCGGACTATCGAAGATTTTGTTCCGAAAAAAAAAACGAGATTTTTTACAGATTTAAGTAGCCTCCCAACGAAAACCCAAACGAAAGTAACACGTTGGAATGTTATAAATTCATAAAACGAATCGAGCAAGTACATTGATTTTATGACATTTTACCTGACATATAAAATTGTCAAAGCAATGATAATAATAAAGTTAGCTGTCGGCGGTCAATTTTGGAATTTAAAAGTTCTTAAAAACATTATTCATTTTTAACTTAAACTTGCTCGAGAATCAATTTATTTGACAAAATGTTTAAGGTTTTCTAATAACTATTCTTTTATGCAGTGAATTGTTATTGATATCATAGAAAATTAAGCATAACCTCTTTCGCAGGGTATGGTGAGTTTGGTTACTGGCGGGGCGTCAGGATTAGGTAAAGCGACTGTAGAAAGACTTGTTAAAAATGAGGGAAGAGTTGTTATATTGGATATCCAAGGATCAAGAGCGCAAGAAGTGGCCAAGGGTCTTGGAGAAAATGTTGCCGTATCAGTCGGTTGTGTAAGATAAAGCTTTTATTTTACTTAAATAAATACAAGGAGACTTTGGTTGATACCATATATGCGTAGTAACTTAGTTTAACATAATATTTTGCCGAAATAAGCAAGTGAAACTTAACTTTCATTCACTTGAAATCTAATTCTACCAATTTACATTTTAGGTATCATCAGAAGATGATGTAAAGAAGGCGTTGGAATTGACAAAATCAAAGTTTGGTAGACTAGACACACTTGTCAACTGCGCTGGCTACGCACAAACACATCAAGTGTATAATTTCTTTAAAGATAAGGAATGTAGTTCAAGCCATTTTATCAAATGTCTAAATGTAAGTAAAATTAAGAGGAAGAAAAAATAATTTGTAAAAATTCTTGTTTTGGAGTTGTGAAAACAATGCCTCTTTGGTTACTGGAAATTCAGGTTTCTAGTTTTATCCATACCAAATTATAAGGGGTTCTAAAATGTTACGAACATGCAACTTTTTTTGTTCAACTTGGCAGGCCCTGCTGTGCCCCCAGTTACTAATTTATTTAAGCAAAAAAAATTAAAGTGTCCTATTACTACATGTTAAATGTTTATATATCTATTTATTCTTTAAATAATCTTTTTTAGGTAAACACAATAGGCACATTTAACACAATAAGATTATCAGCAGGTCTGATAGGGAAAAATGAACCCAATGAGACTGGACAGAGAGGTGTTATTGTTAACACAGCATCAACAATAGCATATGAAGGTGATATTGGTCAAGCAGCTTATGCAGCATCAACAGCTGCTGTGATAGGAATGACTTTACCAATAGCTAGGGATCTTGCATCACAAGGAATCAGAGTAGTCACTATTGCACCAGGTATTTATTTATTTACTAGCTGTCGCCCGCAACTCTGTCTGTGAGCTAAAACACAGTTTAAACATAATTATTAGCCTATGTGTCTTCTAGACTATGTAATATATGTATGTTAGAATTCATTGAGATCCGTTTAGCAGTCCTGGAGATACCTTCAAACAAACACCCCTCCATCTATAAGAAAGTAACCCGTGTGAAAACTTAGTTAGTAACCCATGTGTTCTTCCAGACTTTTCATCTAAATCCTCCATCCATCTAAACATTCACATTAAGTTCATTCACATTCAAAAAGTTAAGTGAATGTGCCAGAAAACTCTTGAACAGAAACTTGAACTTGTGATAGAAAAATCTTTTTAAAGTCATTTAAAATAATATATCTTTTATATATTTATAAATATTATTTCAGGTATATTTGACACTCCACTAGTACAATATTTACCCGAGAAAATGATTGATTTTATAAAACGTATGACGCCGTTCCCGTCGAGACTTGGCAAACCGGAAGAGTTTGCTCATTTAGTTACCAGTATAGTTGAAAATCCCATGTTGAATGGTGAAGTTATAAGATTAGATGGTGCACAGAGATGGTTCCCGTTATAAAAATGTAGATATAAATAAGATAAGAAAAATAAGGTCCGTTTCCAATTTCACTTAGATATGAATCTAATCAATATTAGTGGAAAATCGATAATATTGTTTTTAATTATTAAATTCATTTGAATTTTTAATTAATGTAGAAAAATACCTATTATTGTAAGATATAGTGTAGATAATAAGACTGGAAATATGTACAAAATAAATATGTTTCTTGGTAACATGGTTTTATTCTACAAATAAAAAATTTAATTCTTTTTATAAATTAATATAATAATATATTATTTTTTTTATTCATAAACTCATAAAGGGAATACAGCCAGTACTTCATATCCTTTTTATATTCCATTGCTCGCTGAAAATATTGAACAATCAATTGACTCAAAAAATTAATTAAATCTATGGCTAGGTACGATTCTAAAATGTTGGTTACTGTTTTAATTGTATGGAGTAATATCAAAATAGAGTTGCAATAAATCGTCCATTCGTACTATGACCACTGAAGTCGTGAATTAAACTTTCAAATTAGTTATGACTACTGGAAGAGACATAAGAACAATTAAATAAAGCAGTAAAATCCGAAGTTATAAACAACGAACGGAGATTTTTGACTCATCCTTCGATGTCCCTTTTGCTTTGGATAAGAGGTAAACTAATGTTCTTTGGTTTTTGTTTGTATATTCCTTGCTTTTTGACTATTGAGTTAAAAAGACTTAACTCATATAATTCGATTCGTATTTGTTTTGTAATGTAGTTGAAAAAATTTTTGAATTTGCATGTCTCATCTAGTAACTCCTATGATCCGTGTCAATAAATGGCGGCCGTGGCGACTTAATTATACGTTTGAAAGCTGCAGTTTATGGCGCCGGCCGGCATGTTTCATTTCATAAGTTTATTTAGGCCTGTTACAAATATTTCATGCGTCAAGACACATTTGTAATTAGATATTGTAAATAGGTTGAAGTTAATTTAAAAAGCAACTTGCTAATTGGCGGTTGAGCTTTTTACTCTGTTCTCGGCACTTCAATCATGGCGGCTGTTTATGTTGGTGTAATTTGGCGCGATAGTTAAAAAAGTAAAAGGTAATAATTGTCATTCAGACATGTAAAATAACCCGTAAAATCTACCGGAAAGACTTATTAACACTTCTTGGAAAAAAGACTTTATTTTGGTGACTTTATTAAAACAATCTTAATGGAAAACTCTTGGAACTATGTAAAGGAATCTTGCTGAGGAACTCTGACAAATTTGGCGAGCGGTTAATTGTAGAAAAATATTAAGCAAGGACGTCGTAACATGGTTGTTAAAGACCGAGCTGAAGCTGCGCGAAAATTTTAACCATTTAGAAAGAAATGGGTGGGGTTATGTGTTCTTAATGATTTCTTGTTCTAAAATTGTTAATAGTCTTATATGAATGCTTTTTTATATCCAACTAGGACATATTTTCTATATGAAGTTTTTAAGATAAACAGTATTTTCATCACAGTTATCTTTTTTTTTTCAGAAAAACAATATACAATTTATATAAGGACTAGCACCATGCTGCGAACTCCGTCTACTAGTAGACAGAAGTACGCAAATATCATAGTTTTTGTGATGAAAAAGTGGAAGTTCAGGTATACTTTGAGTTTTTATATGACACAATGTTTTTTTTAAATTACTTAGGCGTGCATAAGCAAATACCCCATAAAATACATCACATGCGTTTCTTGCTTCTTAATGACTAACATAACCTGGGTTAAACAGTAAGCATTTATTTATAATGTCGGAATATTCACAAAGCTATCTTATCTGTATCGACATCAAGGGACATATCGAAGTCGAAAACTAAAGAAATATGTATCATTGGAACCCCATACTGTGAGAGAGATTAAAATACAGTTATTTAAACTTTAAAATCATTGTGTTAAGGTTGTTTTTTGATTGAAATAAATGTTGTGTGTGCATACCAGAATGCATAAGGGACCATCAATCATATGTGTCGCAGGATATTAAGGTGATTCAGAAACGTTTATTGTATCTGTCCTAAGGTAACAACGATATACATTGCTGCATTTGAAATGTTATTTCTTATTAAGAAATGACAATTGTTTTAATTTTTTTAACGAGGAATATTATTTAAGTGATATTTGTCGATGAAGAAGATTGACCTTTATGTTTCTGACTATTTATCTAGTAAGTTTAGGGTTACTCATATACTAAAAATATTGACTATGACGCTCAGGAAATATTAGGAATCGATTGACAGAATTGTCAACCCATTGTGTCAAGTGACTACTTCACACAATCGGTTCAGGCGTTGAACAAATCAGTTAATCAGTCAGACAATGTGATTGACGTATATATAAATCAGAATACATACGTGCGAAAAGATTTACCCCCAGAGTTGAGTAATAAATGTTTAAATTGAAAAGTAAGCCGTCAATGTGTAGGCAGCATGTTAGCCCGCATCTTAGCGCACGACCATAACGGACGGATGCCACACACGGCGCCATCTTGCCGACCCCTAAATTGCCCCTACTAATTGTCGTTAAGACAATTACAAGCTTCTTAAATCGTTCCTTGTTCACTTACAGGATCGCAATTCAGACTGTTAAAGTTTTTTGTTCTTCTCTTCGCGACGATTGTTGTAATTATTGTCGGAATTAACCAAATAACACGACATTGTGAAACGTTTTTCTCGGAAATGCCGCCGCTATGTTGGGTTTTACTTAAATAGATACGTGACCGTCTGAAGTTAATTGCTGTATTTAACATAAGGTTTCTTAAGTGATCTTCCAGCATTTAATAATAATATCACTATTTTGTGCTTAAAGTTTACAATAGACTTTGGCTGAATCCTTCGGGGTAGTTGCCATAGACGGCATAGGAATCAAAAGGAAAAGAACGTATTTTGATGATGGAATTAAGTAGTGACATAATTTGACATTG